TGCTGCATTGGCACCTCTGTCTCAACTCCATCAATGTCCGTTGTGTTCATCCCATTCCTTAGTAACCTTAGAAAAATCTCCATCCTGCTGAGGTACATTCTTTCCCCATTGCCCCTTTCCATTCTCCTATTGATCACTCTTAGTTTCTTGCCTCTGTAAAACCCACGTGAGGGTTTTACCCTGTGTAAAACCCAAGTCTCTGTGCCAAGAGACCTGACGTAGCTTCTTAGCTTGTTGCTTTGTTTTGCAGCAGCAAGTTTACATGGGGTGCCCATGTAGAAGGGGCTCCCTTGATGACCGTATCTGCCATGACCTGTGTAAGGGGCATTCTCATTGGGTGAATATCCCGATCACCATAAAGCTGTTCCAGCATTCCTTGCATAAGCAGCACATTGGCTGCTTCCTCTGGAGTGGTCCAGGGGGCATTTAGAGGGTGAGAGGGGCAGTTTCCCTTCTCAGGATGCACAAATGTGGCTGCAAATTTTACCCATTCCAACAGACCGGCTGCCCCCTCTGGGTTAACCTGCCCTGTAAATGGATCTCGAATCAACATTTGTGCCTGCTCCATACTGAGTTGTGGGTCCTGCATCAATCCAAACATACTTTTCTACTCTGCAGTATTCAAAACTAAAGACGCCGCCCCCAAATTAGTCACTCTCACAATCCATATTAGTGACGGTTCCTCAGGAAGCTGATGATACGGATCTAGAAACTGAAGCAGCTCTTTCACACGGTACCCCCTGCTTTCAATGGTGTCTTGGCTTTGTCCGTTCCCTTCCCGGACTACCTTCCTGGTAACCAGCAGTTGTAGGGGTACTGCCTGTTGTTCTGACACAATTTTTCCTTTTTGGGTAGGCCCTGAAACTAGCGGGCATAGCTATGATTGGTCCGGATCTGAGCTTGGTTCAGTGCTACAACCTGCCCCTACGTTATTTTTCCCTCCTGTTGCAGCTATTAAGGAGCTCTGGTGGCTTAGTGCCTAAGGCACTTGACTACTAACCAGAAGGCTGGTGGTTCAAACCCCAAACCCACCAGCCACTCCTTGGAAGGAAGGTTGGACAATCTACTTCTGTAGTGATACTGCCTCGGAAACCCAAGGAGGGGTCGCTATGTGTCGGGTCCGACTCAACGGCACATAACAACAACATGAGTTGGAATTGACTCAATGGCAGTGAGTTTGGTGGTTTTTTTTTTTTTTTTTTTTTTGCAGCTATTAGTGATCACAGTAAGCAACCACTCTCTATTTCCATATGCGTGCAACTAGCCAATTCTCTGGTGTTAGATTCACCTCTCCTAAATCCCGTGAATAGCTTTTGTTTTGGGTAACTGTTCTCAACAAAACAGCTGCTTCAATCCATGGCTGTTTTTATCTGAACAAGAAACTAAAGCTTTCATGCTCTCTTCGTTTATCTTGTTTTCCCCAAAACCACATGTTCCAGTGAGTCTGGACCTTGCAGCGAACCCCACCATTCTGACACCAATTGCTAAGAGGACATGGGGTCGGCATCTTCTAACCTCTTCTAACTTCACAAGAAGGAGGCAGAAGCACCATCAATAGGCCCAAGGCTTATTCCTGTGAGATGAACATGTCATGACCTCGAGCCCTTTTACCGATTCTGACACCAACTGTCCTTCTCACCGCACTCACTACTTCTCTGCTGGGCTTAATCATTCGTTGCAGTGGCCACACAGAACTCACAGACAATACTCACAATGATGGGGTTTATTAGGGAACTAACAGGCTACAGTTTAGCCTGGGGATGCTCTGGGGATACGATTCCATCAGGACAGTCTCCTCTCTGCCATGCCCTCAGCTCAGGCATGCCTCCCTGGTCCTTGGCCTCTCCTGGCTTCTGCCTTGCTCAGGTAAGTGTTACAAAGCTTTTAGCTCTGCTGATAGGTACACCCAGGTGGACCCTCCGAGGCAGCAAAGTCATGGCCCATGAGAGAAACCCCTTCCAGGACTGGATGTTAAAGGGGGCTGGTGAGTAGCAGGCTGGTATGCTGCTTGCTTGTGACCACTTGGGTCCATTTGATGAATGAAAGTAGGGGAGATGCAGTAATGAAGAAACGGGCTGAGTTTGGTACTCTTTGACCTAGTCCATGGCATGGTTTCTCTGGCCATAGTCTTTGTAACTCCCACTAGATTACTGGGTGGGACCATGCAAATAAAGTAAGAACTCTGATGTTAGGATTGGTTGGTTTTGTCACTCTGCCAGCCTTAAAATGAGCCTTCCTAGAGGCAGAAAAAAAGGAACCCTGGTGGCGTAGTGCCTAAGGTATCTGACTGCTAACAGAAGGCTGGCAATTCAAATGCACCAGCCACTCCATGGAAGGAAGACGGGGAAATCTACTTTGGTAAAGATTTACTGCCTCAAAAACCCAATTTGTTGCTGTGAGTTGGAATCACTTGGTGGCAGCAAGTTTAGTTTGGTTTTAGAGACAGAAAGAGGGATCTCACATATCAAGAGAGACGAGCTGGAGGTGAAGTAGAGTGTGTCCTAGGCCTGGAGATTTCTGCACTGGACCTCCTTGGCAGAAACGACCTGGCAGAGACAACCCAGCAGAGATGCCCAGCTGAGAGACAGCAGCAGTAGAACCAGGAGACACGAGACAAAGCGGCAGCCTTCCCGCCCACAGAGCAAGAAAGCCGAGTCCTTCGGGCAGGAGGCTTGCTGGCGGAGTGGGGTGCACCTAGGTGCCCCTATCAGCGGGGCTAAAAGAGCTTTGTAATGCTTGCTTGAGCAGGGCAGAGGCCAGGCTGAGAGGCCAAGGGCCAGAGAGGCATGCCTGAGGACACAGCAGAGACGATTGTCCTGATGGAAGAATTGTATCCCAGAGCGTCCTTGAACCCAAACTGTAGCCTATTACTCTCCTCATAAACCCCGTAATTGTGACTATTGCCTGTGAGCCATTGCAAGGAATTATGGAACCCAGGAGTAGTGCCGTGGCAGGGACGGTTGGTGTCAGAGTTGGTTAAAAGGTTGGAGGGTGACAGCATGTTTGGCCTCATAGGAATATGAGGCTGTTGACGGTGAGTCTCCCTCTTGTGAAGTTAGAAGAGGTCAGAAAATGCCGACCCCCTGCTCTTTCTGCATCCCCTTTTACAGACGAGGAAACAGCCTCAGCGAGGTGCTGAATCTCACCTTGCATCACTCAGACAGCCGTGGAGCTTTTCAGAGACTCTTCCCTGAGCACTCTGTCATGTAGAATCCTCCTTCATTCCATATTTTTACCTAACGCTTACAGCACCATCTGACATTGTGTTTACTTTATTGTTCATCTCTCCTCCAGTAGAACAGGCTCTCCACATTCTACTGTTTTGTTTGTTGTTGTTCCTTCAGCACCTACAGTGGTGTCTCGGTTTGGAAGATACTCAAGGATTATTTTTAGAACAAAGGGTGAATGGGATGAACCTTGAGCAGAGATCTGATTGACATTAGGAACCGTGCCATGGAGATACCTCTGGAAGAGCATTCCGGATAGAGGGAACAGCAAGGGGAAGGGGCCCTGAAGCAGAAATGTCCATGTTCGAGGAACAGTGAGGAGGCCGATGTGGCTAGAACAGAGGGCAGAAGGGAGACACAAGGAGAGGAGGAAAGGAGGGAAGATGCAGATCACCTAGAGGCTCAGAGGCCACACTAAAGATCTTAGATTTTATTCTGAGACAGATGGAAATCCATGGGAGAGTTCTAAGCAAAGGAGTGACAGGAACTGACTTCCATGTTAAAAAGATTATTCTGTACAGTAAGTATAGCTAAATGAATGAAAAGATACCTCTAAGATGGGCCCTACACATTGAGGAAGAGGAAGACAGAGAGAGGTGCATGGGAAGTACAGAGAACAAAGATGAACCTTTTGCATATACAGTACTGCATTGTCAGTGAAGGCAAACATGGATATATGGATGGATGGATGGGTGGACAGGCTGAACTATTAGTTATGTCTATGCAGGGGGTAGTGTGTCCATGACCATGGATAGGGTTGGCAGACAATTTTCTATATGTGTAATGGTATGTTCTGTAAGAATTTCCAGGTATATAGTAGAGCTGACAAGGGACAAGGTTGTAGTCACTTCTTGGCCACAGCCAGCTACCCAGAGGGAGCAAGTAGTTGGACCTGTGGGCTTGAGACCAGTTTCAGGGGACATGAAGCTCAACTGGCGTAACATGCTACACAAAACATTGTTCCACATCCTGCTTTGGTGAGTAGTGATTGGTAATCTTAAAAGCCTGCAAGCAACCATCTAGATGCAATGATGGGTCTCTCCTCGTCCAGAGCAAAGAATGAAGGAAAACAGGTTCATGGAAACAATTAGTCCAAGCACCTGGTACACCATGCGATCCTCAGCCTACTTGACTATGGGACCAGAAGAACTAGATGGTGCCCGGCTACCACTGTCAACCACTCGGAGGGGGATCTATGAAGGAGATCCTAGATAGAGTGGGAGAACAATGTGGAACAAAATGCAAAATCATTAAAAAAAAAAAAAAGGACCAGGTTTGCTGGTCTGATAGAGCCTGATGGAACCACTGAGACTATGGCCCCTAGCTGTCCTTCAGGTCTAGAATTGAACCCAGTCCTGTGGCTTCCAGCCAAACAAAAGACAGGCATATGAGCTGAACATTTACATTAGGTAGATACACTCCTTGGAGAGATCAATCATGGGAGAATAGAAGGGCTGTGTATGCACAGGGAGACAGCTTGGGGGGGGCAGGAGTACATGGATGGGAAGGACACAGGGAAGAGGTAACTATGGGGAGGAAGTGGGAGGGGAGCTGTTGCACTGTGGGAAATTGTAGTCAATGTCATGAGACAAAGTGTTTGTGAGCTGCTGTATGGAAAATAAATTCGGTCTGTAAACTTTCACCCAAATCACAATTAAAAAAAAAGGGCCCTACAACCATACAAATGGAGATACGATGCCAGCCTTAGTCAAGTAACATTTATTTGGATGAGAAAGGGAACGAAGGGCCAGAGGCCGGAGACTGGCTAGGGTCTCAGGCCTGAGACCCAGCAGCCTGCACAGGCTGGGAGGGGCACCTCCTCTTGCTGAGGTTGGTGAGGATCTGGTCCTGGTTGGGTCGGTAGAGGACTACGAAGCTCTCTGGCGCAAGAACCGGACCTCTGTTCTCTTCCACTTGCCCCATCAACAGGTAACTGACCCCTGGGGAAGTGGGAGGGGATTGAGACCTTGTGTTAGGAGCACTTGTGGAGACATCTTCTCATCCTACCACCCTGATCATTCTCACATGGCTAAGTCCCCTCTCCCTTTTTCCCCACATTTCCTTTACCTTTCTTCATGGGGGGGCACTGCTTGCAGGGCACGTAAAACTTCAGGGGGGCATCAGTGGGTGGAGAAGGCAGGTCCAGGTCTCCAGTTTTATAAGCACCAATGAGACTGACGGTGACAGTGAGGCCCTCGCCTGGGCCCCGCACCATGGACTTCACTGTTGCTGTCACCACTGTAGGAAAGTAGGAGTGAGGTGAGGAGACAGGAGGCCTGGACTGGAACCAGAAGGAGGCAGCCTTGGGGACAGGAAGGAGTTAGAAGAGCTGGAAGAACAGGGCTGGGGGCTGGGGCTTCTTACCCAAGTTGCTGGCACAGAAGTTGCTCTGCAAGGTGCCTGTCCGCCGGCACTGCTTTGAGCAGGAGGTGCTGGATGGATCTAGGAGGGAGGGGAGGCTGTTTGTGGAGGGCTACCTACCCAAGTTGCACCTTCCTATAGCAGCACAAGGAGCTCTGGTAACATAGTGGCTAAGGCACTTGACTGCTAACCAGAAGGCTGGCGGTTCAAACCCACCAGCCACTCCTCGGAAGGAAGGTTGGGCATTCCTACTTCCTAGTGATACTGCCTCGGAAACCCAAGGAGGGGTCGCTATGAGTCAGGGCTGACTCTATGGCAAACAACAACAACACCATAGCAGCACAGGCTTTCTAGGGCTTGGCAGGTATGGCAGGTGGCCTAGGTACCACTAGAGGGAGGAAGCCAATGGGTTGTTTCTATTGGCCATCGCAGTCCCCATGACCGGCTGGAACAGACCATTCAGCAATTTAAAACTCATTGCTACAAGCGCTATTTCCTGTAGATAGCCTCTGGTTCCACGTCCACAGATCCAGTCCTGGGTCCCAGCACCTAACACTAATCACTGGCATGGAAGGCATCAGAGGACCCAAGGACCGAACTCCTCCCCCTCCCCAGACTCACCGGGGGCCACCAGGGTCTCCTCTGCCTCAGAGGAGGCCTTGGGTTTCTCCGCAGGTGGGAGTCGGGGCTTAGTGGGGAGCTTGACTTTGGACCCCTCGCCTGGCTTGGAGCTGGGTGGAGGGGCAGGTCGCGCGTCCTCTCCCGGGCTCTGGGCCGGCCCTGCTTCGGTGGCGCCCCGAGGCAGGGCCCTGTAGGAGGCCGAGAAGCCGTCTGCTGTGACGCTGAGGTCGGAGACAAACTGGACTAGGAGCTCGTTCCCTTCGGAGGAGATGGGGCTGCGAAAGGGAGTAATGGGGGGGTGTCAAAGCCAGCCGCACACCCGCCCCCAGCCTTTAACCTCTCGGCCCGGCTCCGCTCTCCTCGCAAACCGCCCACCCCAGACCTGGTGCCTCCTCCGCCGAGACATTTGGGGGCGGAGGGATGGGGAGAGGGAGTCAGGTTCTGGCCCTCGCAACAGCAGCGCAGTCCCCCTCTGGTACCAGAGGAAGGGGTGACGCAAGACCCCGCGGCCCCCCAGATCCTGCCCCCTCACCTGGGGACCTTGTCGCCGCAGAACTTCCCCAGCCTCTTCGCGTCATCACTCACGGCTCCGTTGAACACGCTGACCGAGTCGTAGCGGCAGTAGGTGTCGGGCTCCAGGTCAAACTTCCCGAAAGTCAGCGAGATCACCTAGCGGCGGAGGGAAGCGGAGGCTGCGCGGCGCGCCCCCAGCGGCCGGGAGCGCGCCTGAGCCCTGCACCTCTTACCTCCTCCGCCCCGCCGCCGCCTCCTGGGCGCTTGCAGCAGCCTGCGCTGTCGCTTGCAGCATCCACTGGCGCCCCGTCTTAATGCACTCATAGCAGCGCCCCAAGGACCCCACCCCCTCTCTGCACAGTCAGCACCCTGTACCTCATCCCAGCTGCAATTTCACTTTTTTTGTGTGGGTGCAAACAAGGGCTGAGTCTCTGCTTTGCTCCCCACCAGCGCAAGCTCAGGGCTCGGGACACAGCAAATGCTGAATAAACCTTTGCTGGCTGCGTGCTGGAGGACGCTGCCCCGGGTCCCGAGGGCAGCTCGCGCAGGGGCGGGGGGAGGGTGGGTACCTGCTCCGGGGGCGCGATGATGTGCCAGGAACAGCTGATACCCGGGGGGTAATCGGATTCGGGCCAGTTGGGCGTGGTCAGCGTTCCCTGGGCCTTCTCTAGCCGCCCCCCGCAAAATTGGTGCTCTGGGGAGGGGAGAGAGCGGGGGTGGGGGGCGGTGGAGACCCCCGGTCAGCTCGGGGAGCGAGCTGGAAGGCTGGGAGTCCGTGCCGGAAGCTCGGAAGTGGGGGTGTCAGGAAGCGGAGGAGACGAGGGGGAGGGGGAGTTAGCAGAGGGCGAGCGAGGGGGGGGGCAGCCAGGCCGTGGGAGTCTTGGACCTCCGGGCGCCCAGGCAGGCGGTGAAACCGGGAGAGGAAAGGGCTGGGCACGCTCCCGTCTGGCCCCTCCCCAGACCCGCAGCCACACCGCTCCTCTTCCCCGGGCAGATCCCATCTCCCCGGCCCGGCAGCAAAGCCCCTTTTCTGCGGGCCGAAGAGCCCTCGCTGTGAGGGTGCCCTCGATTGGGGGCGGGCCCTCCCGGGAACAGCTGAAGGGAGACTTCTGCCGCCAGGGGGGGTGATGGGACCGCAATCGGGACCCCAGGCTGGGTGTAAGGGGCTCCGGGCTGAAAAACCTAGTCCCCCAGCCCAAGAGTGCCCCCTCACGCCCGTCTAAAGGGGCCCGATTGCGGACGGGGGCGGGCAGTTACTCACCGTCCCAGTAACCCCAGGCCGCCCATTCCACCCGCGGGTCGGTGACCCATTTCCGCCTCGCGCCTGGGGGGGGCCCTGGAAGAGGGGTAGGTGGGAGCGGGAGGGGGGGGAGAGAAGACGGGGAGGAGGGACTGAAGGGGCAGTTAGTGAGGGAGAAGGCTAAGGGAGGTGTGGGGGACCCCAGGCTGTGGGGCGCGGGGTTTGCCTGAGGGTTGCGGTTAAGGCTGGGGGCGGGGCCCGAGCCGGGGGCGGGGCCAGGAGAGGCGGGGCCGGCGGAGGCGAGGGAGGTCTCACCAGTGCCCGAGGTCGCCCGCCCGCTGTACCAGAGCAGGAAGCCACGTCCTCCCGTGCCCTCGTCGGCAGTCATCCGCAGGGTCACCTGGTTGCCGGGGGCCACGACGGGCGCCGGCCGGAAGGTCCCGCAGAAGCGCCCGAGCCGCTTGCCCGAGGTCCCAACCCCAGCAAAAACTTCCAGAGCATCGTAGCGGCAGGCGGGGTGCAGCTCCAGGTCAAAGACTCGGAAGGAGAGGGACACCGTCTGCTCCTTGGGGACCTGAGAGCGGCGACCAGGGCGGGGAGGGGGGTCGCACCTAACTCAGGCAGAGGACGTCACCCCTTCCCCCAAGCGTTTCCTACAGAAACTGGCCAGAATAGGAAAGGGGCAGTAGGGGACCCCACGGGGAGCAGAGAGACGGGCTGGGCTCTGTAACGCCAGGGAGCAAGACCTGAGGGTCTTGGGGGAGAATTCAGGGCAGGAAAAAAGTTGGGAATGGAGAATCCGGATTTGAGCCAAGTGTTCTGTGAGGCCATCGGTGGCCCCAGGGGAAACTTTCCCAGGCTGAGAACATGGTGCTGGGGCCTCGCTAGGGTGCAGTCAGGCCTCATCGGCAGCTTCCCAAGGGGATAGTGACCAGAGGGACTGCTCACCGTTATTGTCCAGATGCACTCCTTATTGGGGGGGTAGAGGTTGGGGAAACCCTCACTTGCCACGTAGCCTGACTCCCCAGTCACTTCCCCTCCGCACAGGAACACAGGTCTGGAGGACGTAAGAGGGATCGGTCTTGAGTGCAAGCTCTAGCAGAGAGGATGGGGGAGCCAGGGGGATGGAGAGAGAAGGGCTTAAGGGATCAGGGGCCTGGCAGCCAGACAGGAGGGGCCTGGGGTGGGAAATAGTCCCACTGTGGGACTAGTAACTCAGGCATCCGTCCAACCCCCTGGAGTTCCCACCCCTACTCCAGCTGGAATTCTCAGCTGGAATTCTCTCGGAATCCTCCTTAGCACTCCCCCTCCTGCCTGGCAGTGGGGACAGGAGCCGCCTAACTACTTCCAGATGTAGACACAGCCACGAGGCAAGGCGGTGGGGGAGAAGGGGTGGAGAGATGGAGGAAGCAAATGGCCCTCAAATTGAACCTGGACCTCAGGCTCCCTGAGCCCCCCACTCTGCCTGCTCCCATCCCGGCTACTTGAGTATATGACTCTCAAGTCTCCCACACTCCCTCTTGCGTGTCTTCTCCCCCATAGTTCTCCAATTCCTGCCTGGAACCCAGATGTCCAGTTAGCAGGCAAGGTGGGAGTCGGCCCCGTCAGGTTCCATCAGGGACCACGGACTGGGTAGATCTGCCCATCTGGAGGGCAGAGGGGGGCGGGTGGAAGCATGGGGGCAGTGGTGACCTGCAGACACACAGGCATCGTGCAGCAAAGGGGAATGGACTTGTGCTCCACAGAATGGGGGCCGTGGGCAATCTGGGGGGGTGGTGGTGTGTTAGCAGAAGCATCCACAAACACCCCCCCCCAGGCATAAACCCCCAGGAGTCATGGCTTTTGAAGCTCACTGGAGCTGGTCTGGAAGGTGCTAGGAGACCTACCTGGTGTAGTTGGGGGTCTGGCCCTGGGCAAGGGGCAGCAGGGCCCAGGCAGTGAGGAGGGGCCCCAGGAAGGAGGCTGTGGCAGCAAGCAGCATGGCGGGGGGAGAGGCACTGGGGCTCTCAGGACAGAGGCAGCAGTCGCGTTTAGCAGCGGCAGTGGCGGCGGCAGCAGGATAATCAGTACCAGATGAGGCAGCTCTGGGTGTGTGGGCGTGGGGACTGGCCAGTGGGGCGGGTGGGGGAGGCGGGACAGTGGCGAGCCCAGGGGCCTCTCTAGGTCTAGGACACACAAATATTGACCTAACTTGGGGGGTGGAGCTTGGGGGAGCATCAGGCCCTCAGCCAGGATGCAGGCATTCAGTTATGACAGCCGGAACCCCACTATGCTCAGGGCCCAAGCATCCTGCAAACACAGCCTCTGGTCCTTCCCCAGGCCTCTCCGGCCCACCCGTGGCCCTCCCACTCCCTGGTTCCTCAGCACCTGAGCGAATTCTTTCTTGGGCTCCTCTCCTCTCATCACCCTCTTCCTGACCACCCCCTACCCCAACTTATTTCACACTTGAAATTGCTACGGTCTGGTCCCCACCCCCCGGTGATCTTCTCTCCCAAATACGTGATGATACAGGAGTGGTTGTGGAGGTGCGGTGTGGATCTGGAAATTAGTCCCTTACATTGAAACTCAGAAAGTAAACTGAGTCTGCTTTTCACACTCAGGCCAGGCAGAGGGATGAAGGAGAAGAGGAGGAGGGTGGAGACCAAAAGAGAGCTGCTGTCTGTGCAGACCCCAGAAGAGGGTGAGAAGTAAAAGGGGGACCCCTGACACCTGACCTGGGCAAGTAAACAGGAGGAATGGAGGAAAGGGTTGACTTCACAGGAGAGAAGGGAAATGAGTAGGAAACTTTCCCAAGTCAGAAGAATAGTGGCCTCCTCAGGATGGATAACTCTGAGAGTGGATCTAAGGGGGGAAGCAGGAGTATAGGCTGGCTGGGTTGGTCCAGAAGTTCCAAGACAAAGACTGGGTCGGTCTTGAGAGTGGGAAGAGGGAAGTGGGCTGAAGACCTTAGGTGCCGCCAGCTCAGCAGAACCGAAAGCCGAGCCACTTTCACTGGAGTCCTGCCCAGCCTCCCCTCCTGACCCCCTAATTCCGCTCCCAGGCCCAGGGTCCCAAACTGGGCCTCATTCAGCCTTTTATTCTATCTGTCCATCAAATCTCTTGTCCATGATAGTCAGGTTGGGGCCCCTCCTGGGCAGCCCCCTGAACATTTTATAAAACAGTTCCCTGCCTCACCTTGGCATGTCTGGTAGTCCCTGTCCCCCTCCCGCGTACACAGTGTTCACTGCTACCACTCCTCTCCTTAGCCCCTGGCCCAGGGCCAGACTCTCCCTCCAGGGGTGAGGCTAGGAGAGAGGGGTCAGCTCTCAGGGGCTGGTGGGCTTGGGCCCACCCCTCCAGCAGCCCTCTGCAGCATGTCCAGGGCCTCCCAGAAAAAATCCTTCTGTGCGGCCATCAAGGGCATCCAGCCCACAATCTCCTTCATCTTGTCCATGCGGTCCTGCAACGTGGGGCAACTGTGGATCTGGCTGAGGTACTCCTCACAGGCCCGGGCCGCCCCCCCAGCATCCTGGGGGCTGGGCTCGGGGGTCCCCACCACCCTGCTGGCTGGCAGGTCCCGGTAGGCAAGGTGGTGCTCGATGTCATGGCTGGACAGCAAGAAGAGGCACTCTCTAGTGGAGCAGAGGGAGCAGGCACACAGAGGGACCTTGGAGGAGAAAGGGGCATGGCTGAGCGGGGCCCTTACTGCAGGGGTTCCCGGGAAGTTCTGACCACTCAGGACTACTGCTTCTCCCTCTCAAACCAGCCCTGAGGCTGCAATCAAGCTGACTGCTGGCTGAGCCCTCGGGTTGTCTAAGGTCAGAGGGAACTGGGAATTGAGGTCCCTGCCGGGAAAAGGGAGAAAGGGTGGTACTGGGGCATGAGGCCTGGGGGCTACCTGGCTCTACTGCTTCTGCCCTCCCCGGTTGCGGATTGCCTGACCTTGACGTGGAGCTTGACGAAGGAGGCACTGCCCTTAGGCCAGCCAGGGAGGCGGCCTCCAGCCCCACAGCCACAGCCCAGCAGCTCCTTGCTGAAGTCCGAGTTCTGGCTCAGCATCAGGGAGTGATTGAGACCACACCACAGGGCAACGGGGCGTTGCAGATAATGTACCTGCGGACACAGGGCCAGGCTCCCTGAGTGGGCTGCACCGAGGGCCTGAGGGCCGGGTCAGGGAAGGCTGACAGGAAGGCTCAAGGAAGAATGTAAGCGGGGGAGGGAAGAAATGGGGTCACACACACAGTTGCCCTGCTAACTGCAGATTGGCACACCGTTTCCTCCTCAGTGCTTCTGCCCTAACGGTCTGATGCATTTTGGTTGGTACCTCGTTTCTGCTCTCCAGAACAACAGACCCTGAGAACAGGACCTGCTCCCTGCCTCCTCATTCTCACCTGTCTGTGGCCCCCGAGTCCAGCCTCTTATTCAGCCTGCCAGCCTCAGGGGGAGGGAATTTCCTTCCACTTCTCCAAGGTTAAGACCCCTTTCTCTCCCTGTGCAATTCCAGCTCAGTGGCCAGGGAAGGAGTTTTCTCACACTCATTCCTCTCCCTTGCCCTCCAGACTTTTTAATTTGTCATGTCACTACCTTCAAAAATGACTGTTTTTTTGTGTGAGTTTTGATTTTTTTTTCAATTTTTATTGTAATTTGGGTGAAACTTTATAGAGCAAATTAATTTTCCACACAGTTCATACGCATTTTGTATCATGACATTGACTGCTGTTCCCCACAATGTAACAGCTCTCTTCCCACTTCCTCCCTGTAGTTACCTCTTCCCTGTCTCCTTTCTTATGTATTCCTCCCCCTACACACGCACACTGTCTCCCCGTGCAAAGTGCAAACACTTCCCTTCTGTTCTCTAATGATCAGTCTGGTGGTCTGGTTGCTCCAAGGAGTGTATCTACCTAAATGTTCACCCCCATATGCCTGTTATTGTTTGGCTGGAAGCCACAGGAGTGAGTTCAGTTCCAGATCTGAAGGGTAACTAGGGGCCATAGTCTCAGGGCTCTCCCCAGGCTCTATCAGATCAGTAAACTTGGTCTTTTTTTTTTTTTTTAAATGATTTTGACTTCTGTTCCACATTAGTCTCCCACTTGATCCAGGACCTCCTGGCTACTCTATTAAAAAAAAAAAAAAAAGCCCACCTGACTCCCACTGCTTCCTACCCGACCCGTCTGAGACTAGCCACATTTTTGTTCCTTACCACATCCAGTTTCAAGCCTTCTGGGATCTGGCTCCTTTCCCTACGAGGCTACTGACTGATGGGCCCTCTCTAAAGACACTTCCGAATCCCAGGTCCTCTCCCATAACTCACTTTCCTGAGACCGTTAGTGCTTCAGCTTTTAGAACACAGGTAAGCCACTTAGGGTCATGAGAGAAAAATTGTAACACACTGGCAAGTAAAAATTTTAAAATTCCTTTTCACTGTTTCCTATGCAAATATATAACAAATAGCATATTTTTAAACAAAAGTGGGCTCGTGCTATATAAACTATTTCATAAAGTGTTTTCACCTAAAAATACAACAAGAACATCTTTCCATGTTGGTAAATACACTCCCCCAGTACCACTCTGTCGCCATTAACAACCTCCTCTTGTTTGGAACTTTCTGCTCCATGGCTTCTGGGACATGGCATTTGAGGGGTATCCCTCCCATCAGGGACACCTCTTCTTTGTTCTCCCTGCCTGCATGATCTGCTCCTCGATCTCTACTTGAGTTATTTCAGTCTTTTTCCAATATGGAATCCCTAACAGTCAGCTAGGCGTTTCTACTTTAGTGTTTTACAAACACTGCAAAATGTCCAAATCACACTCTTCCTCTCTCCTCAAGCCAGCCTCCCTTTCCAACTCACTTTGTGGGCAATGTCATCTTTCTTCAAGGGACCTACTTTCAGAGTCATGTGTGTCACACCCTATATCTCTCCACATCTAACAAGCTGTCAGGGCCCACTCTTTTCCTTGAAACAGCATACACATCCCTTCCCTTCTGCCACTCTACTAGTCCCAGACCACTGTCTCAAGTGCTGTTGTCACTCAACGGTCTCCTAGTAGGCTCCTCACTCCCTGGCCTCCTCAGCACTACTGCCAGGCAACCTGTCCTCAATCACCCTCTTGGGCCCATACCTTTTCCTGCTGCAGAACCTGCAATGACTCTTTCCCAAATCTCTGCTCCTCCAGGTTCCCACCCACCTAGACAGTCTCACTTCTCACTAATTCCTGATCCACGCTCTCTGCCGTGGTCAGGCCAGTCTTTTCATTGTCCTAGGCATGTGCATGCTTTATTCCCATCCTCTTTACACAGAATGCCTTTCCCTATCCCCATCTGAATCCTATTCTAACCCACCCAGCCCTGTTCACATCTCACCTCTTCCAGTTCCTCCAGCCCACCCAGGTCCCCCTGACCCCAAATCCCTACTGCCCCTACAGTGTGTACTGCATGGAATGACACTGAATTCTACCTCATGGTGCCAGCCCTGGGTAAGATACGCAAGGGCATCACAGGTACTGCATACCGATTGGCTTAATTTCCCTAGAGAGTGGAAAGTGGATTCTATGGAAAGGGGAGCAGTGGAGATACACAGGGCTTAGGGAACGGGAGGACCAGGATGAGAGGTGCTGTCTCACCTGAGTGGGCTCCCCTCGGTCCATTTTGTCCCCTGTTCCCAGTTGCCCGTATCTGTTATTTCCTTGCATGAAGATTCGGCCAAATTCATCCACCAGGCCAAGGTGATTGTAACCCAGAGCACAGAACAGGATCTAGGAGGTAAGACAGAAAGGAAGTGGGTACTCGGATCTCTGCAGAGAAACCTGGGGCTCCAGAATCTCTCAGCCACTGACCCGCCATCCCGTGCTGATCTCTTTTGTCTGTGTCGTCTACCTTACCCCTCTCCCAGGGTCCCCTGTTCCCCACTGAAGGATCCCTACTGTAGGCTCTTGGTACTTTCTGATCCCTAAAGCCCCTCCCACTTTGGTCTGCCCCTTTCCTTCAGGATCCTACCTTGGCAG